GATTAAGGTTGTGCCAATGAAGAGTTCTTACATTATTTATCAACCAACACATAACCTGCTTCGACCACTCACCACTCACAATCACTCATGCGTAAAGATCACATCATAGGAACGAAAGATCGAGCAACCTAGGTCCTCACTGTGGTATAAGAAATGAACAAAACAAGATGAATGAATCACTCACTCTCGACCAGTGGGGTCAGGACCATTTGATGCAAAAGATGTGCATATTTACGCTCAATCCTAACGTCCCTTTACCATGACGATAACCTCTAAATGTTAGAGTTTACAAGATGGGTGTTGTCTCTAGCTTGTCTGGAGGTCTTAGACACAGGTTCAAATGACTAGCTAGGGTCTTTTGTGTGTTTTTATTTTGTGGACTTTCATTTTGTGACGTTCTAGGCTGACACTGATCTCTAACGCACGGTGTGCTAGTGTTTTTGTTCGTGTTCTCATCGCACAGAATTGGTCCTTTATTCCGTCTGTCACTGATGACTGGTCCCATTTCCAGTCCCCCGGCAGTCCATTTTCCAGGTAACATCGTTCCCCTTATCTTTCCCTCTTCTCCATTAAGGGCAATGTCCTGCTTAAGTGTGTGGGGTGGGGGGTGTTTATCTTTGACTGCGTATATGAGTTTGTGTGCTTGGAGCCTAGTCCATTGTCCAATTTGATGAATTGAGGGCTCCAAGTACTGTTCAATGAAATACCCTACTCACTATGCTTTGAATTGACAATTTTATGGTGATATGAAACCTAGGGAGGTAGTTGTAGCACTATGGAGGATGTTGAAGTATAAGATTTTTCCTATCCATCTATTTGCTATTCCGGTTGATTTTGTGAACTAGTGGATTTAGGACCGTTGATTCCTATGGTATTGATGAATCCTCGTATGTTGTGTTGTGGGCTCGTGTATCGAAAAAGGGTGCTCAAGTGTGAACTGAAAAGGTAGTTGGTCTTCCATGTCAAATATTTGAAATTCTAAGACATGGGGAAAGCCCAACGTGTGTGGCACCTTCATTGCAAAAAATCGGTTTTTTCAATAGATTTTAGTGATCCTTGGTGGGGTAGGCTTACAAGGTGAAGCTAAGTCGTCTCTAGTACAAGTAAAAATTCCACCCGTTAAATGGTTTGCCGACTCGAGGATGTGTTTTTAAGGGCACGGATAGAGCTTCCAACCCCCCTTAATTTCATTGACCCTCCAAACGAAGTGAGCAGTAGTAGTTAAAAGAAGTACTCTGGCGAGCGACGGATGTACAAAAATTGCTCTTGCTCACCTAATAAGGGCAGACCGCGCATACAAACTGCAGTTGGAACCCCAGCAAAGTAAAACAAAAGAAAAAGAAATGAATAGTAAGAAGAAGGCGTTCAAACAAGTGAGATGAAATAAAAGAGCACCCGATACAAAGAGTCCTTGGTTGTTGAATTGTGTGAGTCTCCTTACCCATGAATTGGTTGTCTTAGTTCCACTGCTGCTCATGATCCTGGCTTGAGTATAGTACTCGCATTGGGAGAGATAGGGGACGTCTTAGAAGACCAGTTGACCTCGTAAGTTGCTAAATGATCTAGAAATCATTTGTCGACGATCAGGGTTGCATGTTGCTATAAAGGTCTGGGGAGCGGCATTGTTTGAGTCAGGTTTGCTTGGGGACAAGCAAACGGTTAAGTGTGGGGGAATTTGATGACTCGATATATACACATGTTTGTGTCTACCATTCTTATACCGTTTGAGTCTTATTGCTGGTGTTTTAAGCCGATTTTACGCTAGGTTGTTCTTGTTTGTGATATTTCAGGTCCTAGTACGTGAATGAAGGTTTGGGCACGAGTTCGAGGTCGATTGGGAGAAGTTGGGACGTTTGGCGAGAAGCGGAGGAAACCACACGACCTGACCATATTTTCACACAGCCGTGTGACTTGGCCGTGTGGCACCTCTTTGCGCGGGTAAGGCTACACTGGCTGTGTAAGGGCCCTTTTAAGCCATGTGGGATTTCCGGAGAGTACACACGGGTAGGCCAGGTTTCTATACAGTCGTGCCATTCTGGCCGTGTAACAAACTTTCCATCACTTAAATCAAACTTCGCGTTTTGGACTTCACACGGGTAGACTGGGCATTCCACACGACCACGTGGCCTGGCCGTGTGGTCGTGGAATTTTGGTTTTTAACCCAATTTTGGGTCTTTGAAGAGGGATACGAACTTTCAGAGAAAAATAGAGTCCTAGAGAGAGAAAGTGCGAAGAACAAACCACAGGAGTGATTTTGGAGATAGCTTTCATTAATCAAGCTTGGATTGCATCCTTGGAGTGAAGATTAGCATCCCAAAGAAGATTCTTCCCATCATTATGAGTATGACTGCTTTGTATTCTATGTTCCTCTCTCTCTCTCTCTCTCTCTCTCTCTCTCTCTCACTTGGGTATGACGAACCCAAGTTCCATGTGTTAGGGATATTGATTGTAATGACTTTTGGATTGATATATTGTGTGATTATAATTGATTGATGCATGATTAAGGTTGTGCCAATGAAGAGTTCTTACATTATTTATCAACCAACACATAACCTGCTTCGACCACTCACCACTCACAATCACTCATGCGTAAAGATCACATCATAGGAACGAAAGATCGAGCAACCTAGGTCCTCACTGTGGTATAAGAAATGAACAAAACAAGATGAATGAATCACTCACTCTCGACCAGTGGGGTCAGGACCATTTGATGCAAAAGATGTGCATATTTACGCTCAATCCTAACGTCCCTTTACCATGACGATAACCTCTAAATGTTAGAGTTTACAAGATGGGTGTTGTCTCTAGCTTGTCTGGAGGTCTTAGACACAGGTTCAAATGACTAGCTAGGGTCTTTTGTGTGTTTTTATTTTGTGGACTTTCATTTTGTGACGTTCTAGGCTGACACTGATCTCTAACGCACGGTGTGCTAGTGTTTTTGTTCGTGTTCTCATCGCACAGAATTGGTCCTTTATTCCGTCTGTCACTGATGACTGGTCCCATTTCCAGTCCCCCGGCAGTCCATTTTCCAGGTAACATCGTTCCCCTTATCTTTCCCTCTTCTCCATTAAGGGCAATGTCCTGCTTAAGTGTGTGGGGTGGGGGGTGTTTATCTTTGACTGCGTATATGAGTTTGTGTGCTTGGAGCCTAGTCCATTGTCCAATTTGATGAATTGAGGGCTCCAAGTACTGTTCAATGAAATACCCTACTCACTATGCTTTGAATTGACAATTTTATGGTGATATGAAACCTAGGGAGGTAGTTGTAGCACTATGGAGGATGTTGAAGTATAAGATTTTTCCTATCCATCTATTTGCTATTCCGGTTGATTTTGTGAACTAGTGGATTTAGGACCGTTGATTCCTATGGTATTGATGAATCCTCGTATGTTGTGTTGTGGGCTCGTGTATCGAAAAAGGGTGCTCAAGTGTGAACTGAAAAGGTAGTTGGTCTTCCATGTCAAATATTTGAAATTCTAAGACATGGGGAAAGCCCAACGTGTGTGGCACCTTCATTGCAAAAAATCGGTTTTTTCAATAGATTTTAGTGATCCTTGGTGGGGTAGGCTTACAAGGTGAAGCTAAGTCGTCTCTAGTACAAGTAAAAATTCCACCCGTTAAATGGTTTGCCGACTCGAGGATGTGTTTTTAAGGGCACGGATAGAGCTTCCAACCCCCCTTAATTTCATTGACCCTCCAAACGAAGTGAGCAGTAGTAGTTAAAAGAAGTACTCTGGCGAGCGACGGATGTACAAAAATTGCTCTTGCTCACCTAATAAGGGCAGACCGCGCATACAAACTGCAGTTGGAACCCCAGCAAAGTAAAACAAAAGAAAAAGAAATGAATAGTAAGAAGAAAGCGTTCAAACAAGTGAGATGAAATAAAAGAGCACCCGATACAAAGAGTCATTGGTTGTTGAATTCTGTGAGTCTCCTTACCCATGAATTGGTTGTCTTAGTTCCACTGCTGCTCATGATCCTGGCTTGAGTCTAGTACTCGCATTGGGAGAGATAGGGGATGTCTTGGAAGACCAGTTGACCTCGTAAGTTGCTAAATGATCTAGAAATCATTTGTCGACGATCAGGGTTGCATGTTGCTATAAAGGTCTGGGGAGCTTCATTGTTTGAGTCAGGTTTGCTTGGGGACAAGCAAACGGTTAAGTGTGGGGGCATTTGATGACTCGATATATACACATGTTTGTGTCCACCATTCTTATACCGTTTGAGTCTCATTTCTGGTGTTTTAAGCCGATTTTACGCTAGTTTGTTCTTGTTTGTGATATTTCAGGTCCTAGTACGTGAATGAAGGTTTGGGCACGAGTTCGAGGTCGATTGGGAGAAGTTGGAACGTTTGGCGAGAAGCTGAGGAAACCACACAGCCTGACCATATTTTCACACGGCCGTGTGACTTGGCCGTGTGGCACTTCTTTGCGCGGGCAAGGCTGCACTGGCCGTGTAAGGGCCCTTTTAAGCCGAGTGGGATTTCCAGAGAGTACACACGGGTAGGCCAGGTTTATATACAGCCGTGCCATTCTGGCCGTGTAACAAACTTTCCATCACTTAAATCAAACTTCGCGTTTTGGACTTCACACGGGTAGACTGGGTATTCCACACGACCATGTGGCCTGGCCGTGTGGTCGTGGAATTTTGGTTTTTAACCCAATTTTGGGTCTTTGAAGAGGGATACGAACTTTCAGAGCAAAAACAGAGTCCTAGAGAGAGAAAGTGCGAAGAACAAACCACAAGAGTGATTTTGGAGATATGTTTCATCAATCAAGCTTGGATTGCATCTTTGGAGTGAACTCACCCATAATTGTGAGATTCCCATAATACCCTTCAAACCCTATACCTAAACCAACCGGTCTCCACACCCTTTGACCATGTATCATATATATATATATATAACTTAAATTACGTAAACCTAAAAGCCTCGTTCTTAGTCGTGCCTATGTAAAGAGAAGGGAAAACTTTTCAGCCGCTCAATCCCATTAGATGGAAGGCAGAGAGATACGGGTCGCAATCGAGGAGACCATAGCGAGAGGATAAGGAGCAGGGCCATTTGTCGATCCGGGCTTTGTACCGTAACTAATCAATGGAGGGCAGTAGAGGCTGACAGGCGGAATCACTATCTTCCCCGAGCACCGTCTTCTGCTTTGGCTATTGTCGAGATTCCAAAAGAATCACAAAGCACGACGGCAAGCTTTCTTGGGACGAAAGATTTTGGGGAATTAAATGGACCAGGAGAAGCCCCAGATAGTGGATGGCGGCGGGATTCTTGGACCAGCTATCCCCCTGGAATCGCCATTCTTCTAGTGAGGTAAGCCAGCAAACCACCAATGAAATTATGAGATTAATGATGATAGTTTATTTCAACAAATTACGAGGTTAAAAAGGGAACTGAAGTTTGTATCTCATGGAATTGGGCGGCTGTATGGCAATTGCAATGTACTAAAGGAAATTGTTATTGCATGGTAGCATGGACGGCTATGCAATGGAGATGGGGAAGATAATTGAGTGATTATCTACCAGATTCACAGATGATTCAAATCACGTCGACTTAATTTAGGAGGTGAGTGTAAAGGGGTAAATTCTACGCCTTACGGTATTTAAGTTGTTGAGATTTGACTGCTATATGTCGTACTTACCTTTGTATGCTTATATGATGTCATATGATTTGTGTGAGTTATGCTTTAATACAAAACATACACAAAGTGAAACTCTTAAAATCAAAGGATTTTTTCATCATAATTAGCAAGCCACTAAGTCTACCTATGTATTTTTATGATGTTTGATACTGAAATTTTCATAACAGAGTTTCATGTAGTTTTCTCAATTCTAAAATTACTGCTCTCTCCTTAATTTTCGCTAAAGGTAAATTGGTAATTGGCTAACATGGAAGAAACTAATCATATTACTACGTATTGCGTCCTTGCATTTTTCAATTTATATTCAAATGTAGTACTTTTTTATTCTCTTTCTAACTTCCTCTGAAATTCCCTCCATCGTGCAATAGTTTGCGCCCCTTTCACTTCACAGTACAAGGCCGCCTTTGAACCAATCTTCTGGTATCTCTTGGCACTACGATTTTATTGTTGGGCAAGTAGAAGATTTCAACTCTGATATCAGTGATTGATTTACTGGAGTAGGGCGGTAATTAAACAGTGTCTAATTTTGTTCCTTATTACTTTGATCGAGTCTATTAGTATACTGGAGGTACCCCTAATTTTGGCATTTGCTCTCAATTTTTGATGGTCCTCTCTTAGCTGAGTTGTTAGTATATAGTTGACTTGAATCAACAACTCTCCATTTCTTTTTGATTAGTTGACATATTGTTCCTAAAAACTGAGATTTTAGTGAGATTTTACCGGGGACTTAATTATCATTTTGAAAATGAGATCAATAATAAATTTTTATATTTTATATTCCGAGATGATTATGATATTTCTCAAAATGTTTGACCTATATATTATTTATTTATTTATCATCTTGATCGAAATATTATCAATAAAATTAAACGAGTTGATAGAGTTAAACGTAACATAAAAATATAAATAATCAAAATATGAATATTCCAGCCAACGAGCCGGGTTATAAGCTAGTAAAGTATAAGTTGCAACGAATAAAGAGTAAGCAACATAATGCGCTGACCAGAACAACCCGCAACCCGACCCACTCGCAACTCGCTCGACTCGTAACCCGATTAACCCGTAACCCAATTGACCCGCAACCCGATCAACCCAACATGTAACCCGACTAACCCGCAACCCAATAAACCCAAACCCGACTAACCCATAACCCGTTGAACCCGACCCGAACCCGCCCGATTGACACCTCTACAAGGCCCTAAATAAAGACGCATCGCGCATGAAGAGAAAAGACACAATAGGTAGAAGCGTATTGAAAGTTGAACATGTGAGGTCATGCTCCTAAAATCTCTGAGAATAGTGTCAGGTGGTTGGGGCGCATGGTAAAGGGAAGGTACGACACATTTATTGCCATGCAGACGTAGGTCAGCTTTGGGGGGCATTGGTTGGCGAGAAACCTAGTATAAACAGGGAAGATTTGGGGGGCATTACTCGGCTCGCAACTCTCTCACTAAAGCTTATTGTTACTTATTTCTCTAAGTTTGGACACTAACTTGATCGTCGAAGGCCTAACGGACCACTTAGGTCCGCTATGCAATTTGTATGTAGGAGGTTAGGCGCCTTGCGAGCCAAGAGAGGCACGAGGAGGCGCACAAAGAGTGAAAGACGGTCTTCGCACAAACAAAGATGAATGGTCCAATTTGGGCGCTTAGTCCTCGAACTACTCCAAGAGGTTGACATGGAGTGTTGTCTACCATTTTGATCTCCATTTCAATCTCCTCCATGTTAGCTATTTCCATATCTTCATAGAGCGGAAGTGGTAGGATGTTGATGCAAGAACCAAGATCCACCAATACTTGCTCTATCTATGAGACAAACGATCGTGCAATGACCAGGATCCTCCTTCTCTTCATATACTCGAATGAGTTTTTTCTATATCCATAATGAGTTGAGTTGATACTGGTCTTTTTGGACCATTGAAGAATAGAAGATAGTTGAATTAGAAATCTCAATCTTTTTCTTCTATAGAAGTTGCTCGAGCTTCTCCCTTGGGATCACCATAGAAGCCATGCTCTTGAAAAGTGGTATGACACTCTCTTCTCCTCCCAAAGAATATATCAATCTTTGCACCATTGGAGGGTATCGAGATGTTTCTTCATGGATGACCATCTCCTTTACTGGGGTTGTATCATCGTCCTTGTCGTCCTCCATGGCATGAGATGTCTTCATTGCATGGGATTGAGCAGGCACCAATGACTTCTTCCACGTCTCCTTCATCACTTCTTGGGTCGCTTCCTCCGTCTTAATTCTTTGCCTTGAAGCTTGACTCGCTAAAACACAACAGCAAGGTGCTAAGACTCATAAATTTATGGATAAAAACCTCAATTGGATATATATTCATCAATGTATTGGAAATGGGTTCATACAACTGCTCCTAACATGCACAACTAAGGTTCTTCATACCCAACTGGTAGAGAAGAGTTTACTCCATGGAGAGAAGGGAAAACACCAAGCATGGAAGAGAAATCATGTTATGAGGAATAACAATCTGCTCCAGGCTAAAAATCGGCACTCCAAGGGTGCTAGATTGAGCTCTAATATCCTTAGCTCGCTCCAATATGTTTCCTAGGTTGTCCTTTGCCACTTTCTCTCTCTAGGGCACTCTCTATCCCTTTGGAACTGAAAAATCCAGATTAATGAACCAGAATCCCGAGTCTGCAACTTAGAAGACCCGACACCGAAATCTACGGTCAGAATCCACGATCGTGGAATTGGAATTCAGACCGTGGATTTCCAAAAACGGCGCGCAGCGATAGGTGGCACACGAACCAAATCCACGGTTGGCCACCTTAAATCCCCCGTCGTGGAATTGAGGCACCAGACCGGGGATTACCCTTGGACAAAAAGCACAGTCCAATCATGGAATCCACAGTCGTGGAATTGAGGTACCAGACCCTGGATTTTGCTGCTTTGGCCTCCGGTTCCTGTCTGCTCTCCAGTTTCACCCAGACTTGCTCCTCAACCTTCATTTACGTGCTAGGACTTGAAACATCACCGAAAAGCACTACCTAGCGTAAAATGGGCAAAAAAAGCAATCAACGGCTAAACCAAACGGTAAAGTAATGTCGAAAAAAATATGTGTAAATACGGTGTTATTAATTCTCCTTATTTCTCCTCCACCATCTCGCAAGGTCTTCCTTCCTTGAAAATTTCCTTAGAAAAGAGCTCCCCACGAGTAGTTGCACCAAATTTGATGGTGCATGCTTTAGATCTTTGTCATTTGATGTGAGGAAAAAGAAGAGGTGGTGCCCTCTCTTTTATAGATGAGCAGCAGGTGGGTGGCGCGTTGTTTCGCCACTTGTTTCCTCTTTGGATATGGAATTTTTTAAGTCCCTCTTCTATTAGGAAAAGGAAAAACGGCACCTGGTGTTAGTGGTGGGGTAGCATCGGGTGGATCCGCAGTCAGCGGTTGGGTAGGGTTTCTTAGTGGCGGGTGGATATCGACTTGAGCCGCTGCTCTTCCTTCTGCATTTTCGAGTTTGTTCTCCTTGTTTTTTGAATTATTCATCAAATTTGAAACTGATGAAACTTTACTTATTTTGTTTTTCATTCCCATTATTGTTACATTTTCCCATTCTATTGAAGCATCTTTACTCATTTCTATGGTACTTCTTATCTAAATCACAACTATACGATTAATGAGCTTTTAGTAGATGGATGCAATATTCTTGTACTATTTGATGCCTTCTTGGTATATTTTTGATTGTTTTGAAGGTATAAAGGAACCTAAAGAAGATGGGATCAATGACAACACCCAAAATGGTGTTATTTAGCACCTTTATTTAGGGTCTTTTTAGGTCATTTCATGATCTCATTGGTTGGTAATTCATTAAATGTATTCCTAGTCCGTTCCTTAGAGAAAAATATTATGTCATTTTAGGGTGTATTAGAAGATACATACGTTTTAGGTATGAAAAGGGTCACAAGTGTAGGAAATGAGCAAAAATGTGAGTTCAAGACCAGAGGGTGTAGTTCACGACAGAGATGTGAAGGCGCAAAGTGGAGCATGAAGATCATGGCCTCTATCAGAGATCGCACCCGTGATCAAGAGAGCCTCACACGTGAACTGCTGGAGCAGCCACTAAGAAAGGACCATGAAAGTTTTGACAGTCGACTCGCAACTCGTGTTGTCCCAGCCAGCGAGAAAGATCGTGGTCGTGATTCACGGATTGCGACAATGAAGTCAGACTGCGATCTCCCAAGCCAACGAGGATTAAAGTTGTTGCATCCAAGATCATGTACTCTGTCCCACAAATCACGGCCACAAACTTCCTGTTTGCAGCTTTGAACTTGCCCGAATCCTAAAATCCGTCAATAGGGGACTCCTTCCCCTTTACAAGAGTGATGAAAACATTTGGTATAATTTTGGTTTTAGAGAGAGGTTAGAGAGAGAAGCTAAAGGAAGGAGAAGTCAAGAAGAAAGGGAGCTCGCCCCCCATCTCTAGTTTTCTTCCCAATTCTTACATGGGCTAGTTTTAGAGAGAAATACTTTTAAAAAAAAGAAGTTGAGTGTTTGTTTGGAAAAATATTAGAAGTGATTTTTAATATAAGAGGTTGTGTAAAATGACTATAAAAGACTTATAATATAAACTATGAATAAAAATTTTAAACAATAAAAAGTAGTCAAATGGATCTTATTAGATTTCTTTTATATTAAATAATATAATTTTATAATTTATTTTATTTTTGAAATGATATATAATTATATTTTCTGAAATAAAATTAAAATATGTTAAGGATAATCTTGTATTTTCAAAATGGATTTTCGCAAAAGCTCCAAATTGGAGTTTCTACTTAAATGTTGTACTAAAGCGCTTTTCGGATTTTCAAAAGCCGAGCTTTAAGAGGTGTTTGACCCTGCTTCAGCTTTTGAAGCCGAAAAGCACTTCTAAAATCCAGGCCAAACATAGGCCATGTATCTTCTTCCCCCCTTTATGGGGTAGTTATCTAAGGTACTGGGGTTTAATCCCCAAACTCTAGATTTAGGTTTTACTATGTAGATGAAATTTTGTTTAAGGTTAGTGCATGAATGATTTTTCCTAGACTTTATTTGCATTTGTATATGTT